ATGGAGCAGACACAGACAGGCGGACAGAACAGCCACAGCCACAGCCAGGAGGCCCCCCAGCCCCCAGCTCGCATAGAGGAAAGGCCGTATGCTGTCTGTGGGGAAAAGCGGTGAGTGTCAGAGGGCCCCCTGCCCTCTCCACTTACCCCGCCCTCCCGGTGCCTCTCCAGCAGTTTCAGAGGCAGAACAGCATCCCTCAGAAATCCCTCACCGCCTGTCACCTGGCCGCCCACCAGAGGCCCCGCCCACCACCGTTTCATCACTGACCCCTGAGACCTCTCACCCCTCGGAGGCTCCCACTGCACCCCCCACCCCCAGTCCCTGGCCCGCTCCCGCCGGTCCTGGCCTGCACACCCCACTGCACCCGCTGTGCCTGGGCCGGGGCGAGGCTACCTCACCTGGTGAGTTAGTAGCAGGAGATGCCATTTGGTGGGGCATGGGAGACGGTCCCAGAGAGCAAGCCTGGCCCCTGCCCAGCGGCCAAAGTGGCCTGGGGCGAGTCACGTGCCTCGAGTTCCTCATCGGTAAAGCCGGCCTCTGTCTCAATCTCCCCAGGCCCAGCAGCCTCGCTCCTGCCCTGCCCTGCCCTGGCACTTCCCATCACCCCGCTCATCAGCGGGGCAGAGGGGCTGTGGTGCCATCTCCCCGTGGGGACCCGCCCCCTTCCCTCCGCCCGCTGGGCTGACGCCTCTCCAGCCCCGGACAGTTCTGGGTTCTGTTCAGGAAGAGCGATGGCGGGGGAGGAGCAGGTGTGGGTGCGTGTGGGGGCGGTGGGAAGGCAGGTGGGCAGTGTCCAGCCCCCTGGCAGCTCGGCAGGGCAGGCAGATCCTGCCGGGCGAGGGCAGGAGCCTCTGGGGCCCCTAACTTCCCTTCAGGCTTCCTGCCCAGCAACCGCTTGTTCCTGTTTGAGGGCAGAAAGGAGGCCTCGGACTTTACCCCAGAGCCAGATGCACTGACCATGGCGTGGAAACAGAGCCTCCTGGGCCCAAGAGGAACTGTGTGGGGGTGCGATGGGGGGGCAGCAGCCCAGGTGGCAGGAGGCCCCAGGCGGCCACGAAGGGAAGAGGGCAGGAGTCTCCTCTGGGGCCCAGGGAGTCTCAAAGCCATGCTCTCCGGCCCCTCTTAGCCTCATCTCAGTCTGGGTGTCTGTCGCTCTCCCTGCCAAGGATCCCTGCTCTCTCCCAGCTCACCCGGAGCCTGGAGCTGTGGCCTGCAGGCGGGGTGGGGGTGGGGGATGGAGAGCGACTCTAGAGGACAGCACAGCAGAGCTGCCTGGGGAAGCAAGTGCTCACCACAGGCATTCCGCCCCCCTCTGGCTTCAGCTTCTCCCTCAGCCTAGGAGTCTCCCAGCACCGTTAGAGAGGAAGTTGGGCTTTGAGGGTGAGGGTTAGGACATCCTTCCTTTCAGACCCCTGGGATGGAGCACCCTTTGGGTTCCAGCCATCCTATTGACCCCGAGGGAGCCAGTGACTTCGCCTCCTCAGGGGGCTTTCCTGACTGACTTTCCCACGACTTCCCACACTGCCTCCGCTGAAGCTCATGACTCGGGGTGTCGTGGACACACACCTGGCTCCTGCACCACCTGGTGTCTGGGGCTCGCTCTCTCTCTCTCTCTCTCTCTCTCTCTCTCTCTCTCAGGGTGCATGGCTGACTGATTTACAAACCACAAAGTCAAAGGCAGCCGGACTAAGTCTAATGGGCACTGCGCTTAGATCTAGGGTTGGTGACTGGTTAGTGTTCGGAAAGGAAGGATGGCCGTCCAGGCGGGCTTCCTGCCGGAGGCAGCATTCTCAGGTTAGGCACAAAGATAAGCAAGGGCAGTGGTCTGAGGTCCTCTGGGCAGAGGCTGGAGGAAGGCCTCTTGGCGCCCTGGGTGGAGCGGAGGCCATGCCTGAGGACTGCAGCCGGTTCCTGAGGAGGTGGAGACTGGGGAGCTCATGTGTAGGCCAGGGCTCAGGAGATGTGGTGCCTGAGTCCACGTGCATTTGCATTTTCTTCTCCAAATTCAGAAACTTTCTGCTACTTCCTCCCTCTCCCCCTCCACAGTGCTCCCTACTGCAGGACAGGAGGACAATATTCAGTTTCATTAAAAAAAAAAAAAAAAAAGATTTGCCGTAACCGGTTTGGCTCAGTGATAGAGCGTCCTGTAAAAAATCAATAAAATATATAATAAAAAAGATTTATTATTAAAAAGTTTAAATAAAGAAAAATAGAAAGAATTGAACAGTGCACATATCCCTACCACCTAGAGTCTACACATGTGCCCTTGACCGGAATTGAGCCTGGGACCCTTCCATCCGCAGGCTGATGCTCTATCCACTGAGCCAAACCAGCTAGGGCCCTATTAGCTATATCATTGTTTTTATCCACACACACACACATGCCCTTGAGAAGGGGAGATGATGTGCAACCACCTCTAACTTCCTCGGGCCCGGCCTTCCCCTCAGCCCCTACCGCACTGTCTGCCACGGCCGCCATTGGATCAGTGCTGCTTGGCTTTGCTTACTCATTCGTTGGTCATTTCTTCCTAACATTCAGTCAGCACCTACTCAATGGCTAGGACTCCTTCTGGGTGCTAAGCTCTTTGGGGTGCCGTATGGCTCTTCTGTGCGCTCTGGAGCCAGGGAGGTGGTGCTCCCCCATCCCTCCTCAGCGAGGCAGGAGTCGGTGGTGAGGCAGCCCCCCTCAGCTGCCATGGCTGTGCAGCCAGTTCTGGGGGCTGCAGGGGACGGGAGGGGGGGGAGCATGGGAATGGAGGCCAGTCCAGTGCAGGGATAGTTCTTCTCAGGGACATCTATCACTCAAGACCCCTGTTCTGGACCTCAGGGCTGGGGTGCAGCCCTCTGTGCAGCACCCGCCGCTGGGGGGCAGAGGGCTGCATGCTGTGCTGGGTATCGGGAGTTTTGTGTTCTCATTGCAGCTT